GCCAAAGTATTTTTTTCTGGAACCCTGCCCCTTCCTGCTCCTTACTTCTATTTTTTATTTTTTGCCATGCATGTAAAGCTGAATGCACACAAGTTAAATGCAGGCAGGGCTTTTTTTTCAGCCTGAACTCCAGAACTCAGTTCTGGCACCTCTCAGATGGGCACCATTGTCATTATAAGAAAACAAGGGAGGTGTTAATGGTGAGTTCCAACACCTCTTTTTCTATAAAAATAACACTGAATGCATGTAAATTGCAGGTTTACTGTATTCGAATTGGAAAGGAAGTGGCAGATGGCAGAGATGCCATGCATGGAAGGCAGGCTATCCATCCAGCCAAGTAAAACACACCTCTCTTTTTCACTCCTTTCATTTAAATAGTACTATATCTAGCATGAAATTGACATAGTACAAGGAAGTGGTTACATAAAATTGACATACCTATTTATGTTACCGTTGCAATTATGAATTACGGTAACCTGCAGACTCTGGAGTAAAAAGAAAGAAAGAAAGTTATTTAAAATAAAATTTGTCATGTTGAAGGTGTTAGTAGCAGAACACTTTGTAGATTTTCTTAGCTTAAGTATCATGTGTTTACACTTTCTAAGAAGCTTGAGCCAAAGAATCTGGCTTTAAAGCTAATGAGCCAGCTCACTCATGGAGCAACATCCACTGTACAAGTGCTGAGCGGGAAACTCATTCTGCGAAAAACTGGCTTACAGTCACAAAAGGCCTTAGAAATGAGCCTGCAAAATGTTTAGTAGCCCAGAAAAATGTTTAGTAGCCAAATTGCCCTCATAGTCATTTGTGGCACAGCCTGAAAGATGCTAAGATACTGTTGCAATTCCTAAAATTTCCTGTTTGGTCCTCCAAGTGTGATTCTTACCATAGATGAGTATGTGCATGACTAAGTCGTCTTTTAATGATAAGAAAGTAGAGGAGGGCAACCTATGGGCAGTGGGAACATCCCTCTTTTGTAGCTCCTGTGCTAAAATCCAAAGTTAAGGCTGGAGACTTTTGTAAAAGAAAGTTGTGTGTCCCACCCTCTTTATATAAGATACTGTATGTCCAGCAGCTATGATGGGCCATAGGATCAGGCTGTTAGCCTCATTAAAACCAAAGGTGACCTGCCTTTCCTCTTGCCATACTTTATATGAAAGCATGTAACGGTTGAATGTGAGAAATTTGATGGATCTACTGTGCTAAAATGCCAGGACAGATTCCTCTTGGAAAGGCTCAACAACCAACATTTTCAGATCTTCTCTGTGTTGTAGCACCTGGTTTAATTTATTTATCTGAATCAAATAACTTAGTATAACCTATTTATCTAAAAATTATGAGATTTATATTCTTGACCTGCAGCTATATTCGGACTGGACATGTCATGCTCATGATGTCTCTTTGTTTCTGGCGCTTAATCATAGGTGGTTGTGTTTCTCCTAATTAAATGAATTAAATTAACTCAATTATCTTCAGTTCCCTCTGGTCCAACAACTGGAGAGCAGGTTGCTTTGAATTTGTCATTAGCGTCAGTGGAATGTATTTTGCCACTTGTGCTTCTGATGACATTAGTCTTCCCCTCACTGCCTAAAGCAATATTATGAACAGAATATTAGGGAAATGAAAAGTGTATTAAAATGGTTGTATTGTGATAGGGCTAGATTTCTAGTGTAGACGGTTTGGAAGCTTTGTTGTCTATAACGTATATTTTAGATTGCAGTCACGTTGTTTCTGAGCACACTATCTAGACTTATATTTGTTTACCAGAACTGGCAAACCAAATGTATCATTAAAGTCACTTAACTTTAATCGGTAGTAAGTTATCCCTGGAGAAGCACCACTGGCAATTCATCAGGCTCTTTATTTCCTCTGTAAATTCTGTAATAAAACAGGAAAGACTATTTTAAGAAACAGAGTTGGTACCATTCTATTTTAAACTTAGAGTTTATTTAGAGAGGGACAGAAGGTGTCCTTTTATTTTCTGAAGAAGGAAGGGATAAAAAATTATCCACAGCTTAACTAGAATTCAAGTACCATGTGAGCCATGATGAGGTTTCATTTGATAATTTCATAATGTATTTTAGCAGTAGTCTTTAAATGACAAAGACTACAGCAGAAAGGAAACAACTGGTTTTATCCTGTCCAAAGGGCATCCCATGTCTTTCTTAAGTATAACTGTGAGCTGTCAACTGGATAAAAGTCATTTGCACTGTTAGCTTGTGGGCTGGGGGCCTTATGCCTTTTGTATTTTAAAAAATATTTGCTTACAATGTGGCTAGGCAAAGCACAGTACCAATTAGACCTACCCACCCACCATCTGAATTTACCCAGGGCACATTCAGTAAGGGTAGGGAAAGAGGTGAGTGGGGATGGGTGGGTGACTGAGACAGAGAGAACTCATGCTAGATGTTGGGCAATACTTGTTGTAGTTTAATTAGGTAAATAAGCAGTTCTAATCGAAAGATTTCAGGTGGGACAGTGGGTCACATACAGCAGGAAACCTATGGCCCTCTGGATGTTGCTGGACTGTAACTCCCACTTTTACTGGCCATTCTGGTTGAGACTAGAGGAAGCTGAAATCCAACAACATCTGGAAAGCCACAGGTTCCTTGCCCCTGACATAGTGCACAGTGCACAGTGTCCAGTGTTTGCACTTCAAAGCTCAGAGCAAGCCCTGGCAGCAAGAGCCAGGGTTTGTTTTTGTTTGTCTAAATTTGTATCTTTGCATATAAATTAGCATATGCAATTTTTATGCAGTTTAATAATATGGGGCTGTAATCTACCAATGCACCTGGTAAAAAGTACTATATATTGTGCATCAGAAAGTCCAGGACTGATGGGCTGCTAGGTTATTATTGGGTCCTTAGTCACATTAATATCAAGAGTTAAAAGCCCAAAGTCAAAAACTTTGTAATACTGATATTATTAATATGTGAGTGTCAGCTTCTCTGTAGATTACAGTGGCAGCCACTAAGCTTAAACTAGCAGTTACCATTTTCCATAAGAAGAAACATATGTTCTTTTTGATATGGAATGCAGGTGTACAAGATTCTCAAACTTCTGATCCAAGCCTACATTGGTGCTCTAAAAAACTGGTGTTTGTAGAGTATTTAGATGGAAGTAGTGTGACACAGGTCTCCTGGTCCTTTCATGGTTATATAGACAAGGGAGAGGAGAGTAACTTGTTGAAAATTTCCTCGTAATCATCCATTATTCCTTGCAGTATGTTTAATGTTGTGTCAGACAATGCTGGATTTTTCAATCCTCATTTACAGTCAACCCGTATCCCAACATTGTAGTCATAATTACCGTATTTTTTGCCCCATCGGACGCACTGCCCCATAGGAGGCACCTAGTTTTTTGGGGGGGGAAATAAAGGGGAAAAAATTTATTTCCCCCCCAGGCGCAGGGGCTGGCGCGGGGGAAGCCTGAGCTTCCCCAGCCCCCAGAACAGGCTGCCGCCCCAAGCCTTGCACACCCGGCAGGACCTCCCGCCGGGCACGCAAGACTTGCGGACATCTGCCCGAAGCAGGGGGCGGGCTCCGCAGCTGGCCCCCAGCATCGGGCTGCAGGCTGCCGCCCCAAGCCTTGCGCGCCCGGCGGGACCTCCCACCGGGCGCGCGAGGCTTGCGGATAGCTTCCTGAAGCCTGGAGAGCGAGAGGGGTCGGGGCGCACCGACCCCTCTCGCTCTCCAGGCTTCAGCGAAAGCCTGCATTCGCCCCATAGGACGCACACACATTTCCCCTTCATTTTTGGAGGGGGAAAAGTGCGTCCTATAAGGCAAAAAATACGGTACCCGAATCCCCACTCTTACCTCTTGATACTTGTGTCATCACACAAGACTCAAAAATAACGCAGTGGTTTTCCCTGCCCTGAAGTACTACAGCAGCACGTCTGTTTCAAAATTAAAACAGCAGGTTTGGTTAGATTGCTCTTCCAGTAACTAGTTTATTTTCCAGAAACTGTGGGTTTGAAGTTTAATATAGCATGAACCTGCCTGCTTTAGGGTTTGCTTCTTCCTCCATAATTTGAGGAATCAAGTGATCATTGGAATGTTTCCGCAGGCCAAAAAAAATACATTTAGCTTTATTGAAAATGTTGCTTACTCTCAAAGAAACCATTTTGCCTCTCCTTTATGTTCCCTCTGGTATTCATGGCACCTGTATGCTTCCTCAAAAGCTGACAATGGTCCATTATGCCTCTCTTTTGCCTTAGCTGTGGAGAAACAAGGCTGGTGGGAAATTTGCATTTGGTTAGTTGAATAAATATTTTGCTAAGGCAGATATTTTATTGCAACTTTCCATTGGAAACCTCAGTATTTTCATCATCTTCTTTCAGTGGAACAGATGGCACGTTATTTGTCACAACCTGTCTTGCTCAGATGGAAGTAAGTCACAACTGATTTCAATACAGGCATGAGACAGAACCATAAAGGACAGCTTTGTTCTCTGATTATTGTTGGGATAGAAATGCCCTCTAGGTGGCTCAGAAGGACATCACGTTTTGTCAAAGAGCTGAAATAGCTCCTGAGAGATTCGGTTGTGGAGGGTTTGTGGAAAGGTGATGTGCTGTAAAGTCAAAAGAACACTCTAGCATTACCAGCTCTGTTCCCCCTGTCAGAGCTTTAAAACCTATGAAAAGGCCAAATTCAAAATATTAAGCCATCCCCATCGCATAATCTCCATGCTATCAAAACTTTCACCTGCTCACTTTTGCCAATGCTACTTCTGTTAAAGACATAGGAGCCCTACCAGGGTGGGTGGGTGTGCATTGTGTGTATTTCTAAGTTCCAGTTGTTGATAAGCAAATGTAAAGGATTTCCCATTGTTTACAAACACAAATCAATAATTGTCTGTTGCAGTAAGTGATGATTTAATCCTTCGTTTTTTCATTTTGTTGTGCTTCTGTGTTCCACCAATAAATCTCCAGCCTTCAAAACCAGCAAAGAAAACTATTGTACACATGGGTCATCTAGTCCAACCCTCTGCAATGCAGGAATCTTTTACTCAATGTGGGGCTTGAACCCATGACCCTGAGATTAAGAGTCTCATGCTCTACCAACTACTTGCATGTGCTGGGGACAACCTACAGGACACTTGAGGGGTGGGTGCTAACTAGACAGCAACTGCTCTGTTTATGGGACGGAAACTATGCTTTGCTCCCCAACTTGGAGTCCATCCATCCTGAGCTTCATTGCACACAGTTAAATCCTAATGCTTCAACTGTTCCAGGTTCAGTTTTAAAGAACTATGTAGCTGCTCTCCAGTCAGCACCTATCAGGGTGTTCCTTTACCACTTTATTGTTCAAATTTATGTGTAAGCAGTGAAAAAAAAACCTGTTTTTATTTTTACTATCAGCTTGGAAATGTCTCTATAAAATCCCAGATGCATCAGGCATGCATGTTAAATGTTATTGATTGGTGGCTTTCCATGTGCTGGGTACACTGGATAAGAAACGTCGCCTCCCATCCCCTGTTCCTGGGATTTTAACAACAGGCTGAGAGGCTCAATTAAGCAGGTGGAACTTCTCTCATCACATTATTTCCATGGCAGTAAAAGCCTTCACCTGCCTAATTTCCCAGTAGTAGGCTGCTGTTAAAGGCACAAGAGCAGGGCTGGTCAAAGAAGCTGCCAGCCCTAATATAATACCACTATTTATTAAGAACATTCCAAAGGAATTTATAGTTCAGAAGCATCACACCATACTAGACTAAGAAAAGCAAACAGCTCTCTGTGGTATTCTTCAAATAGATAAAATAGCTACCTTGAAGAACAAACAAGAAAGGGAGTGGCAAGGAGTCACAGGCTGAGTTTCCCTGCTAAAACATCAAGCCTGACATTGCTTAAAGATGTCACTCGCACACCCTTTTGGACTCTAGTACTGTACACAAACCACTGCTGAAAGTATTGAGTCATGAACCTACTTATTAGTGCCACTGAAGTCGATTCATTATTCCTGAGAACTGAATTATGACATATAACATCCTCAGTAGCAAACTATTGTTCTGAAATTGGAAGCAAGAACACTAGGGTTATATAAATACTGAAACACAACATCAGAAGCTTACTCAGACATGTGTATCTCACTTCAGAATGGTTACATTACCCTTTTTTATTATTGGCAGCCCTTCTGCATTGACAGACAGAAATACAACAGGTGAAGTTTTCCTCAGCCTTGCATTTCATGCATGAACATTTTCACCTGCTGAATTTCTGGTTATGCAGCAATAACTAGGCATGTTGCTTCTTTTTCCTGATTAAAATTCTTGTTTTAGCAGCTGCACCATGGCATATTGAAATTTAGCAGATGCAGTTTTCCCTGTTATAGTCTATCTGTGCTGGTGAACTGTGTCAGTTGAATTACTTCCTATAAGGCAGCCACCTTATGTGACTGTAAACCAAATAAAAACCTATATTGGCTACACTTGCACACGTTTGTTTTAAAATAAGCCTTCTGTTTTATCTCTTGCAACATTCCCAAGTGATGCATTCTAACTCAATGTTTATCTTAATATATATGCTATAAGCAGCCTTGGGATAAAGTGGCTCCTGAAGGGAAGGACTGTGCTTTGGAGAGGAGTCAGCATGTGATTCACAAACAGCTGATACAACCAGGGCTGCCAAATTTCTCAGTGACCCTGCCATTCTGCCTTTAAAATAAGCAGGAATGGGGAACCTGTGGTCCAATAGGTCTTGTTGATTACAACTCCCATCATACCAGATAACTGGCCATTTTGGCTGATGGGTATTGGAGTCCAGCAGCCCCATAAACTGTAGGAAAGGGGAAACTTCCTTCATCACTGCATCTGAAAGGTGGGGGAAAGCTTAACCTGTTGGATATCTCCTTTGCTAATTGTTGAACCAGTCCCAGTAACGCCCCCCGCCCTCAAGTTTGATTGGCTGCAGCTTCAAGCCCTAAAAAGTTTCATTAAAAAAATAAAATGGCACACACAGCCAGTTTCTGGCTAGTTAGCAACTCTGCACAGGAGCCAGCTGAGAAAACAGGCAGCGCCAGAACCAAGAAGCTGCAAGTTGGTTACCCGCGGTTTCTCCGTCCACACCACCGACAAGCTGTAACCAGAATTCGCAATAACAGCTGATTGATCGACCGGGATCCCTCCAAAAAATAAAAGAGCCGTCACTAAGAAGAAGCGGGCAGGAAACCTGTGGATTTTCCCCACCCGCTTTCGCGGACGGGGGAAAAAAAAAGAAAGATCTATCTTTAGAGAGCTAATTGCAGTATACCACAGATGTGATGGTCGCAGACATGGGGGGTTTTGTTATTTAAAGTTGGCGCAATCGAAAGTGACATACTGCCTACTTCATTGTTTGCAACGTCTACCCCAAGGACAGGTTGTCATTTGTTTTCCGAGTAGACGGAAGAAGTCCTTGTGCAATGTTTTGGCTACAGAGGAAAGCGTCGCGATTCGTAGTAGGTGCGTTTCTCGCTCCCTCCCTCCCTCCCTCCTCCGCGCTCGTCCGCGTTGCATAATCGTGTTCCGAGCCAGTCTTGCAGGCAAATGTAGATAAGCACCAGCTGGGGGTTGGCCCTGCCCCTGTCTCCAGAGAACTCCTCCCTCTGCTCGCCTCTTTTTCCGAAGGTAGTTTTCTTTCTTACTCTGCGGTGAGATACTTTTGGTGTGAGTGTGCTGTGCTCAGCTGGTGGATTCCGCGGAGCCTGGTTGCCATGAGTACCCCCGAGGCAGAATGAAGGGTGGGAGGCACGCTTATACCAGCACGCCTTGCCTGGGCTGGTTCCTCGCCAAGTGTTGCTGCTGTTTCCCAGCGTGCAGAGGTTGGTAGCCGGCTACTAAACTGTATGTGCTTCTCGTTTGAACTTCGGAGCTCTGGGAGGAAGAGGGTAGGCTGTTCAACTCCAAAACTAAATGTTTGCTACTCCTAACTCTGGGGATATTAAACTTGTAATGCGTAACCCTGGCTTTGCTATATGGCTGGGGTTTGAAGGGTGCTCAAGAGTTTTCCCTAAGGGGGCTAGGAAGAAGCTGTACTGTATATAGAAACTGCCATAAAAATAGCATGTTGATGTATACCACCCTTCCCAAGTGGTATATGTGTGTGGTTTCTAGTTGCTGCTGACTTGTCACTCAACTCCGTATCTCTGTTTGCACATATCCTCAGATGTCTTCTGCCAGGAGAGAGAGACTTCTTTCTAGGTTTCTGTCCAGCATATGCTGCTGGTTAAGGAAGTGCAAACAGACTCCACAACTTTGAGAGCTATAATTCTTGTCTACATGCCTATGCACTCTATATGTTCATTTGACCTTAGGGCTGTAGCCCTCTGTGCATTTGGTGATGAGTAAACCCCATCAATTTCAGTGGAGTATGCTTCTGTGTAAAGATAGGATAGGCCCAGAAATACTGTTCGATACTAATAAACTAACAAATGTAATGATTGAATGAACCAGGGCTGTATTTTAGAACCAACTCAGAGATAAAAAGTGTGTGTGCTGGAGGGTGGAGCAGAGTTCATAGTTTTTCTGCAGACAACTTTGTGACCTTGCTTTGCCGATAAGAGCAAACTGTTGCTGAAGGAGTTGTGAGAAAGAACTACAGTATTTCTGAAAGCATTTATTCCCCTCCCATTGGTTTTTTTTTCCAGATTGCAGATTCAAAATACTTTGGTAAATGCTGTGTATAAATAAAATTTCAAACCTCTTTCTGCTGACAAAATGTAATAGGGGTGGGGGTTCTTCATTTTCTCTGTGTTCCGGGAAAAGACAATGGCTACTTCAGTCTGCATTTAAAACAATTCATCAGAAGTGGGTGGGATGACAAGGTGTTAACTACATTATGTAGTTTGTATAATTCCTGACTTGGTTTTCTATAGCAAGAAGGTATATAATCACTCTAATGGTCATAAGTGCTTGTTGTAAACAATGATAATTGGTATTTGTATTGTACTTAATAGGTTTGGCCTCTGTGAGAAAGGCCATTATTTTCTATTTTACAGATGAACAAATGAGATTGAAAAGGAGAGTGCATTTGCTCAGTCCAGCAGAAAAGCTTTTTGGACAAAAAGCTTCTGTGCACAGACTGCTTTCTGGATTCCAGGCAGGCGGATGGAAAGGAGACAGTTTCTGGAACTGCCTGTGCAGTGTTCTTAGGGCTAGACAACTCCTATCACCTATTGGGGGAAAACTCAGTTCTCACCTCTGCATCTCAGCTGAAAAATAGTACTCTTTTGCCAATGTGTGTGCATGGTTTTCCATGTGTGACGATCTCTTGGTGGTTGCAAGCAGGTTCATAACAATGACCCTAAAATCAAGCCCATTTACCTATGCAAGATAAGGTGGATGTTTCACCTTGCCTGATGGTTATGGAAATCATTCTTGGGTTCCTTATCTCTTTTATAGAATCCCATTGAGTTGGTTCCTCCCCAGCATTATGTTTTCTCTACTTATAGGACCACTTCCCTAGGAGGCCTTAGGCACTGTTGCTTAGCCTTAACTGCCGCCCATCAGCAATTTGAGCCTATAAAACTAGCCTGTTCTACAGAACTGTACAGACAGTATATATTAATGCTTTGTTATTAGTCACACTTGAGGAATTTTCTTCATGGGTCTCATGTATTTGCTAGGAAACTGCATAGCCACAAATTTTATAACCATCCATGGGTGCTTTTTTCACCCAACATATGCATGTAGTTTGAGATATATTTACAAAGGCAGAAATCTTATAAGAACTCCTTCAACAGACTTAATAAGTCATATGCAGTCTGTAATTTTCAAAGTCTGCTTCGCTTTATTTTTTAAGTACCTTGGATATTTGACTTTCTCACATAAAAAGATTGAGAAGTTAAACTTCAAAAATATGTGCCAGTTGCTTTGGTTTCATCTAAGTGCTCATATATATTCGTGCCCCAGGAATAATTTTGCTTCCTCTAGCTGTGATTAAAAGGTGGTGACTTTCCAGAAACTGACTTCTGTTCTGTCAGAATCTGGCTTCTGTTCTGTGGTCATACGGTTCTGCTATTTGCATTTCACCCCCAGTTGTAACAGGCAGTAACCATTCTGTTGCATTCTTTACAAGAAATGCTAAGCAACAAGATATGCCCTCTTTTGCCACCATA